CCACTCCGAGATGATGGAGGAGTACGAGCCCCCTTTGGGGTGGGGGAGGAGTGAGGACGGCGGGGGAGGAGTGAGGACGGCGGAGGTTGGCCGTCGAAGAGGCAAGCGAAGGAGACGAGAAGGGCTTGGATGGAGGGATTGAATTCTGCTAAGCAAAGTTCGATTGTGGAGCCGAGAGATGGAAGGTGGTTCTCAGGCATTGGATGTTCGGATTCATCGGTGGATTTGGAATGGGGGAGAGAAGAGGTGTGGAATATGAATCCGCCATTGATTTAGAAGTGAGTTTGATTCGAGGAACATGAGTTCTGATAAGAGATGTGTCGAGAAGGATTGTTTATATATGCATTTTTTCAATGAATGGGAGTAAAGATTCACTTTTTAGCTTAAAAAAAAAATGAAGCTAATGAATGGCAGCAAGAATTCACTTTTTTCTTTTTTCCTTATAGAGATTTTGAAATTTTAATAGTGCAAGACTTTAGCTAATCTAATATAGTTCATATATTTTTATCCACAGAAAATAAATAAATGTTAATATATTAGTAATATTAATATTAAGAGTTTGTTATCAAAAATAGTGTATAAATAATTTAATTAAAAACAAATACCTTTCAAAAATAAAGGCCTAGCCTGGTGGACTATCTATTTAAACCCATTTTTATAAAAGCTTGAGTTGAAAAAAAAAGAAGACATTTTTTTAAGAAAATAAGACTTTGAAACCTAGACTTAATAAACCTTGAAAAAAGAGCTCGGACTCATGCTTGGGTTTCGATGCCCTTTTAGGCTTGTTTTATTTTCACTCCTAAAAACTATAATATTTTTGAATTTTTAAATTAAAATTAAAATTTAAAATATATGTTTATAATTTAATGTGAGAACTTCTATTATTTATTTTTAATTTTTTAATATTATAACTTGTATTTAAAAAAATATAAAACATTGTAATTAAAAATTTTAATTTCCAAAAATTTAAAATAAAATAAAATAAACCTAGCCCTGAGTATTTCAAGTTTAAATAAAGGTCAAGCTTCAAAAAATGATATCTTTTAAAATAATCAAGTTTATAAACTTGGACCCTTTAAGATTAAACCTGCCCTTTTCTCATATCTAACCTTAAGTATATAAGTTTTTCAAATTTGCATATAATTTATGTGGGTATCAGTTGGTAACTTCCGGCATTGATCGGCACGGGACTAGGACCATCATGCTCATGCTGATTTGGCTGTCCAAAATTTAATTTGAACGATTTAAATTTAAAATTTTAAACTGATAAATTTTTAAGAATTATTTTTTAAAGTGTCAATTAAGATATTATCTTTATTTTTATTATATATTTACCAAAATAAAAATTTATAAACATTATAAAAGCTTTTAATAAAATTGTTCGTTACCATTTCGGACAATACAAATTTAATATAAATAGTATAAATTTAATATTAATTTCTTTAATTTTCACAAATTGATTTTCTAGTCAAGTTTAATGTTAAGAAATTTTATTATTTTTATTTTGATAATTGACATATAAAAAATAAAGATACATTTCTAACTAACACTTTAAAAAACAATATTTTAAAAAAAATTACAAATGAAAAGTTTTAAATTTCAACTATCCAAATTTAATAGCTTGGATGGCCTAGATCTCATCAAAAGTGATGAACATACATTGAAGCTGGTCCCACCAAATCTATATAATTTAAGTCTTAGAGTAATATAAAATGTAATCATAACCCAAAAAAAAAAAAACTTAACTATATGGGTTTTTTGGCTAACAAGGCTTCTTAATTTTAAATTATTTTGGTCTATTTACAAAAAAATGGGAACATTATATTTGAGAACCTTTAATTTATATTGCGTAAAAATTGTAGTTAAGATGTTTAATTAAAATGATAAGAATTTTGTCTCATTGTATTTGAGAACAAAAGTGAAAACATTATATTTAAGAACCATTCGTTTTATTCAAATATTTAAGTAAAACAACTCAAATGCAAAAAAGTTAAATAAGGAACCACTTTAATGAAAGGATAAAAGTTTTTGTTTGAAGCATCTAATAATTTCTTGCCTGGGAATATTAGTCTTCTCTAATAACATCACGAACCCTTTCTTTCATGCATACTTGCTTCTCTTTCTTTCTTTATTTTCCTTTTGTTTTTGAATGAGTAAATTGCCTCTTTAACTTTTGATTTAGTAGAGTCATGGATCATCAATTCATTTATTATGCAAATTATTATATTAACTTTTAAAAATAATATAATCTGGTCCTACCATTAACGAAAGTTATCAATGACCGTTAATAGATTAAAAATTACAAAAATAAAAAAATACAATAAAAGATTCAAAAATTATAGAGAATGACCTGAAAAATTATGAAAAAGGACAAAAAATTTTGATCCCTTTTCTATAATTTTTTAAGTATTTTTCTGTTATTTTTTAGTTAATTAATAGTTAAAGTTAACTTTTATTAACAATAAGGGTCAAATTGTATCATTTTTAAAAGTTGAGAAAATAATTTTTACAATAAATGAGTCTAAAGTTTATGATGTTATTTGACATAAAATTTATAAGATAATTTGCTCATTTATTTTTTTTCCCTTGCAAAATACAAGGTGACAAGAAAATGCTGCAAAAGAAAGCTAAAATGACTAGGATCTATTCACCAAAAAAAAAAAAAAAAGAGAGAGAGACTATGATCTCAAATTGCACTCTTATTTAAAGAGTTCGGTGGAGGCCTACATGTTGTGTCTAATCCAAAAACTAACCAATCGAGATGTTTATTTTTGTCCTTAAATGTAAAATGGTGATTTCAATTATTAAGTGGGACACAAATTAAGCCTTATCACTCTCCATAGTCTGGACCACGTTGGCCCCCAATGTTTTATAGCTGAAGCACACACTAGCCTGGATCTCCTGAGTTGGCTTACATGAGTTGGAAGAATGTAGGTTGAGCTAGATTCAATACGTTTTCATTTGAGTTGAAAAAAATCTCAACTTTTATGGATTGATGAGTTAAATGTGTCAATTTACTAATTCATTTAATTTTTTGCATGAATTTTTTTAAAAAAATTACATCCAAATGATAAGTTTTAATATGATATTTCATGCAATTAAAAAAAAATCAAATTACAAATGTATGAGATTAATCCATCATATCATGATTTTTTTTCAAAGTTCCTTATCTTATGGGGTTTTGGTACCAAAACTCCATTTTATATATTTTTTCAAGTTTTTATAAAACAATGAGTTAAATGGGTCAAATTTAACCCATCAGGATTAATTTATCTAGTTTATACGGGTCATTTGGTCCAATTTAGGAAGATTCATTTCTATTTGGATTATTTTTTTTTCAATCTAGTTTGACTCTTATACATGACATTATGTTAATCAGGTCAAACTATATAACTTGATTCATGTTCTCAATTTTATTTTTATATTAACTAATTAGATTTGTTTTCCATATATATCTATATATTACCTTTATCGGCCTTTTGGCTCGGTCAATTGTAGAGTAGACTATATATTACCCAAAGTCTCCCATACAATTCACTTATCAAAGAATTTTGTTCATAAAAAACACTTATTTCATCTCAATTGTCAGTGGCAGCCGGACTCATTTTCCATCTTATAAAAGCAACTACAACCAAAAAGTGAAATTTGCAAGGAAAATAATAAAATGTATAGACTACATAATTTAAATAACGACTAGTTTATGTCTTCCAATAACACACACACCCACATTGATATTGATTAATAATAATAATAATAAAAATATTTATTGCTGCCTGAGTCAGCAGCAAGTTTTATTTAAGGGTTGCAAATTTTAAAAATATTTTTTTTTAAAAAAAAAGAATCGAATTCTTTTGTGGGGGGGGGGGAAGAAACCGAGTGGACAAAAATACCCCTTCATCCATTGCCGGCGAGTTGCTATCACGGCATCACCGGTGTCACTTGTCAGTGGCGGCGGAGCCGCCACCATCATCACTCATCATTAGAATTTAGATTTGTCATCATTCAACTCAACTTTCATTTTGATGCTTCCTCTATTTTAAACCATATGTTCATAAAAAATTTTATAAACATTTTTTATTTTCACATAAAAATGTGTGGAGTGAACAAAATCAAGCAAAATCAAAACGCAGAAGATCCACACATACATCCTAAACACTATCACGTTGCCCTTGGTCAACAAGCCAGTCAGCACAATTGTTTGTTTATCTGAAAGATGTGGTTAAACAATGACAATTCAGTCTCATGTAGTCATATGACAAGATCTCTAATATTATCGGCAAAGAAAATTTTGTTTCATTTAACATGTTTTTTACAAGTCAACCCATAATTTTTTTTGCTAGACAAATCAATAAATATTAAAACTGAAACTCTATTTAAATTCAAGTATAGATTAATAATCCGTTAAATTTATCTTATTTTTTAATTCGATCCTTATCATTTAAAGACGATGTAACAAAATTAAAATCTTCTTACATTGATAGCAACGTATTAATGATAACATGTCAATAAAAATTTTTTAAATTATTTGGTAGAAAAAATAGGCGCACAAAATTTATTTTAACGAAAGAGCAAAACACAATATAAAGGACTGGACTGGATAAATATTAAACCGATTTAAAAGTCAGTTTATTTTTATTTAACTATACGTGCATGTTAATTCATCAACATACTTTATTTATTAAATTAATTTAAAAGTTAGTTTATGTATTAAAATTTAAAAAATTAACATAATAATTTATGTAAACTTAAAGAGTTAAATTGATAAAAAAAATTTAAACATGGGGGAACTAATAAATAAGAGAGGAAAACTTAAAAGTAACGAAACTTTCATCATCTCTATCAATTTCAATCGAAAATTTCATTTCAACGGCAAAATAATACTGTAATTACTAGATTTGAATTGAATAATTGTAGGTGCTAAGTGCCTGTATATTTTAGTCATTAAAATTTATATTAATAATTTAGATAAATTTATTTATTTATTAACTTTAAGTAGAGTATAAATTTAAAATTATTAATTTAAATTTTAATAGTTTATATGTATGATACAGTCATTCAATACCATGTCAATTATCTTGACCGAATCCAAATCCGTACTCACCACTGGACCATATCCCAATTATATCACAACTTGAACTCTTCTTCATTTATTAAGATTTAAGCCAATGTGTCTGAACTCACTGCTCTCTGCTTGCCTTCTCCGTCTTCATCCATTGTATCACACAGTGCTCTCCCTTTCGTCTCCGGCAAGAACACAACAAACACACCACTTAACCCTATCACCAATCCAAACACCCCATAGCACCAAAACTTCTCTCTCCTTCCCGCAGCCACCAGCACCGGACTCACCGCCCCGCCCACCACCACCGCCTGCCTCGCCATCGCCAATGCCGAGTTCCTCACACACGTTGGGAACAACTCCGTCGTATACACCAAATATATATTAAACGCAGTGCAAGCGCTGAAAAATGACACCGACTCCGACACAATTTCCAGTTTCCTCCATGTCTTCCCTAACTCAACCACTGACAAGAGACTGAAAATCCCGCTTATGATGGTGAAGACCAAGATAACACTTCTTCTGTTGACCTTTCCGATCATTATCAACGTTAAAAGAGACGATGGTAGCTCAGATAATGCGTTGAATGTGACGCTCAGATACAGATTAAACGACAGCGTTCCAAGACCTAGTGGCATCCCGTAATAAACCACGCCAATACCAAAACCCATTGACATGATGGCTAAGATTCTTCTTGAAGCCCATCGCTTCTGCATCAAAACCTTCAGCGCCGAGTATAAATCCATGTTAGTGTACCAACTTTCCTCAGGCTCGGACATTTTGGAAACGGCTAAATTCAATGAGCTTTGAGATATTGATGCGATGCCTCGTAGTGTATTGACAGCTTCCTCTGTTCTTCCTCGTACGAGGAGCCATCTAGGAGATTCGCATACGAAGAGTTTTACTAATACGCAGTACAATATTGTTGGGATGGATGTGTACTTATAGAGGTTTCTCCACGAGGAGATTCGGTTTAAGTATGCCATGGCTGGGAGTGAGAGGAAGCCGAAAGTGAAGCAGATGAATCCGATGACACCCACCTGGCCGCGCCACCTCTTTCCTACGAGCTCTGTGGCGAGGACAAGAGCCGAAGTACCTATGGTGGCTCTGCCAAAACCAGAGAGAAACTTGAGACAGGAATAGACCCAAAGGTTGGAAGAAAAGGCGGCGAGGAAAGAAGAGAGAGACATCAAGAGACAAGAATATAAGAGCATGTTCTTGCGGCCCATGGACGTATCAGCGAGAGTGGATAGGACAAGCCCGCCGACGAGACAGCCGACGAAGAAGGAGGAGGCCGGGAGGCCCATGAGCATGGGGTCATCGGGATTTAAGTGCCACTCAGAGATGATAGAGGTGTAGGAGCCGCCGTGGCTGGCGGAGGAGGATGGTGTTGGTTGGGCGTCGGTGAAGACGGTGATGAAAGTTTGTTGGGCATCGAAGATCCAAGCAAAGGAGACGAGAAGGGCTTGGAGGAATTGGGAGAGATTGAATTCTGCTAAGCAGAGTTCGATTGTGGAGCCCAGAGAGGGAAGATGGTTCTCAGGCTTTGAAGGTTCGGATTCGTCGGTGGATTTGTATTGGGAAAGAAGAGGTGTGGAATTTGAATCCGCCATTAACATAGAAGTGAGTTTGCTTTGAGGAACTTGAGCGCGGATACGAGAAGCATCAAGAAGGTTGGTTTATATATGCATTTTAGTAAATGAATGAGGGGGAAATTCGTGTGATTTATAATTAAGTTATTCGTGTATTATAAAAAAATTTAATTTAGATGTGACCAGAAAAAATAAAAATATTTTTTTATATTGTTCGTTAAAAATAGTACAAACATGATTTTTTATTTGATAGTTAGTGTGGGTCTTATTCGCTGTGTTGATATGCACACGATCCTAAATCAGAAATTTAAGTCCTATGGCAATGTAAAATGTGAGAAAATAAATAAAACTTAATTATCAGTTCTTTAATTGGCTCACGAGTTTAAAATTAATCACAATTAGTGCCTATGACAAAAGTGTTTTTCATGTTGATACATTTTTTATTATTGTATTGTTGTTGTGAAAAAGTATAGAAAAAATTTCGATTAAGAATCAAGAAAGAGACTTAATTATTGGAACGACATCTCAAAAAATTTTGAAATTTCAGTTTAGTTCATGAAGAGAAAATTGAAAATAATTTTAATAGTGAAAATATTAAAATATTCTTTACTTGTTATGTAGAATTACTAACCTAACATTAGTTGTTCAATTATAAGCAATACTATCAATTATTAAATTGTTATTTTTATTTATTAATTTATTAATATCAGTTGGAAATGAGCTGACAGGTCATTTACAACTGATGTTAGTAAATTAACAAGTAAAATTAATAAATTAATAATTAATGTTATTGATTGTCCAACAAACAAATATAATTTATAAGTAATATTAGTAAATTAATAAGTAAAGTAAGAAAATTAACAACTAGTGATTTTGTATAGCAAGTGAAGGGTATTTTGATCTTTTTATAGTTGAAATTATTTTAACTTTCCTCCCCTAGATTGAATTAAAATTTCAAATTTTTTAGAACTCATCAATAATTAAGTCTTTTTTTCTAGTCCTTAACTGAAATTCTCCCAAAAGTATATTCATTGTGAATTCAGCAGCAACAGCTATATTGATATTCTCAATCCAAGCTTATGACTGAAGATGTTTTTCTGGAAATAAAAGATGCTACATTGCTATACATGATACATTAACATTATAGTTGAGTCCATTTTAGCTGTCTATGGAATTATAATATAATATTAAAAGTTATAATCAAAAGATCTGCAAATTGCACAAATGGCTACAAATTTCACCTACATTGACACTCTGTAGCCTTAATCCATGAGAACATGATATGCTTCGATCTTAGAAATAATTAATTCCCAGTGGCTCATAAATAATTAAACAAAATCCTTCATACAGAAACTCCAAATTGGATCCAAACAAACAAACAAACAACAATAATTAGTGATTGTATATCTCGCAGTTGTATAAATGGGAAAGTCCAAATTGAATAGAGATGAAAGTGGGAGAGTCCCATACAACCACGTGGTGATGTTTTTATCTTCTGAAACGGTACATATAAGATATAGATAACAAAACAACCTTTTTGTGGAAGCAGGAAGGTTTTTGCACACAGGATCTCCAAACCAGTGTCACCTTTGAACAATACTTATGAACGTAATGATTGATGATCTTGCTGTGTTGTCCAAGTGAATCAATTCAATTCATATTTTGTCAGCTTTTTAAGAAAAAAGATAGAGTGATGTGATCACAAATAAGGCTAGGAAAAAAAATTACATCAACATTAAACTTAGGTTAAAAATTATATTTTAAAAAATTAGAATGTACTATATGTTATTAAAAAATATTACTATTTTTAATAAAACTATACTCCATCCAACCTAAAATATAAGTAGTTTTTTGGAAACGATTTGCATACCAGTAAAATTCTCATTTTTATAAAAATATATTTTGTTTTCTCTTTTTAGCCCTAACCTCAATTATTAATGCACTCTATAATGAGTGCGAGATATATTTATATAAATATCTAAGTTAATAAATGTAAGGGGTAAAATAAATTTTTTTACATATATTATATTTATATTTTGAACCAAAATTAGTTGAGAAAAAATTTTTACTCTCTTTGTTAAAAATATAAGACATTTTTAATCAAATTTTACTCTCAATAAAATAGTTACTTATCTTCAAGCTAACACTATATTTTTATATCTATCCCTATGTGATTGGATGTTTTACTCTAAAATAAATATAAAATAATTAGTTAATAGAAATACTTAAAAAAAAGTAATGATTATGCTTTGAAATACTAAAAATGTCTTGCATTTTTTAAGATTCAATTCCTAAAAAAATCTTATATTTTTGCATGGAGGGTGTATATTTTAATATATCGGAGGGAGTATTTAAAGTAACAACATGATAATTGTCTTAAACCCTAATAAAGAATCATAAAATTATAAAAAATTATTAATTTAAAAACTTTCAACAGAAAATTAAAAAATAGTCCTTCTGTTAAAAAAATATAAGATATTTTTGAGAAGTTGCATATTAAAAAATATAAGATATTTTTAGTATTTCAAAGTATAATAATTAATGTTTCTTTTTCAATAATATTCATAATAAATAAATCATTTATACTTATTTTAAAGTAAAATACTCATATTAAATAAAGATAAATATGATAAGATGATGTTAACTTAAAGATAAGTAACTAGTTTGTTTAGTGAGGAGATTCAGTTTAAAAAATACTACCTTTGTCCCAAATTATAGGGCACATTTGAAAGAATTTTTTTTATCCCAAAATATAAAATACTTTAAGTAAATTAAGATTTTATTAAATGTGTCAATTTTAATATTACCATTGCTCGCTCTATAATTAATTCTCATCTCTTCTCTTTTTAATATATTAAATGATGGATTTTTTATAAGTTTATATTTTTATTTTAGAAAGATAAAATTGTTAAATATATTTAATAAAATTTATTGATATATAAAATTTTATTTAAAAGTGTCTTATAGTTTGAGATGGAGAAAGTATGTTTTTTAATGTAATCGTTATATCATCATAGATAGGCAAAATCAACTGCGCACATGGTGATGAATCACCTATTGCCTTGGGTTTTGTAAAATCCTGATACCCTTTTTTCCATTTTTAATAATTAAAAATACTGAGAAATCCCTCAGACAACAGTATTCTCCGAGCCTAGAAACTTAAAAGAAGAATAATAATAATAATGTCAAAAAAACATTGAACTAACAATTAGACTTTATAAAAAAATTAAAAATAAACTGTAATAAATATCATTTAATTTCAAACATTTATAAATAAAAATATTTAGTATAATATAATAGTTTACATCTATATAATTAAAACTCATAAATTTAAAATCGCCTGCATGAATATTTTTAACTTATTTTTAAAAAGATTTTGACGGCCCATCTCTCATTCGCCCAACAAATTTTCATATTTTTTATTGTTTCAATCAAACATAAATTATAAACTGACACACATGCGGCCGGTGGTCCCCATGAAGCGTCCAATTAATATTTCCAACTAACACAGAAGATATAAGCAAAAGTCTCATCCCTTTGCTTTTTAAATTTTTAACTCCATTATCAATTATCGAATTGACAGCATTGTTAACAACAAATTACCAGTACCAGGCAAGCACTGAAACCGAATGTATCATATTAAAACATATGTAATATTTTGGGTATTTCAACGTTCAATTAATAACTTTTTTAAAAAAAAATATCCTTCATTAAAGTGTATAATTAATAATATTAATAATTGAAACATGCTATTGAATAAAAATGAATATAGAAAGAGTGTATAGTTAAAAACAGTTAATTAATTTATTAAAAATGTAATTCAGTTAAAAGCGTTGATAATTTTTAAAGAGAGCGTGTATTGATTTTTATTATCCAAACGTGGTAGGGATAACTATGGTTCAATGAACCCTTCACTTTCAGCCAACAATCACAACGTGATCTGATGATTTGAAGCATTGAATATAAATATAAAGTTGTAATAAAAACAGCAATCCAAACTGACAAGGATGCCGAAGGATAGGCAAAACAATTGGCTGATGACTCAGCGTTGTTGGCTTCGCAATGGAAATTGGCTGCGCCTTTGTTTTCTCACCAAATAGGGCTTCAGTGGGTCCACGACTTAATGGATTATTGGTTAGGGAGAATAACAAACCCTGTAAAAATATTAATACTAAATTAAAAATTTTAGTACTAAAATGTAGTAGAAAAAGTTTTGAAATTTAAGAACGTCAGCGTTAAGAAAATTTAATTTAATATTAATATTTTTATAAAGTCTTTATTTGTCATTCTCTCTATTGAGGTTTAATGGTTATCAAAGTTAATAATTTTTGGAAAAACAAAAATTTAGATCCTACACTTTACTCACATTTTTCTACTGGTTCCTGTATTTTTTTTAGTAATTTAGGTCTCTACACTTTTATTTTTTAGTATTCTAGGTCCCTCTAAAGTCCTTATATTTTGTTTATGGAGAGATTTAAAATACTGAAAAATAAAAGTATAAGGACATAGAATATCAAAAAAAAAAATATAGGGATTAAAATCAAAATACGAGCAAAATATAAGAATCCAAAATTATGTTTTCTTATAATTTTTTTGAGTAAACTATACAATTTTTTATACTTTTTTTAAAATCATATTGATATATTCTTCATTTTTTAAATAAAAGTATTAATGATAGAAGTTAGTTAAAGGCTAAATCATGAAATTGGAAAAAAAATACATATATCCTAATTTAATTGAAAATCAAATTGTATATGTAAGGTTAAAATAAATATCAAAATTTTTTATGACATTTTTATTCCCATGGAATATCAGTGAAAAAAATATATTATTAAAATATAAAAATTTAATAGAGACAACGTTAAAAATTTATCAAAATTTTTGGATATAAGTGATAAATTTTAAAAGTTTCACTTAGTTTTGACTAAGAAGAGGAATTAAATAAAAGAAAATATAGTTTGATTAATTGAGTAGTATTAAAATAAGTGACTCATTGTTCTTATTAATGTTGGCGTAGGACTTTCCACAGTAGAGTTTGTTACCTAAGAGAAGAAAATTTTAATTTGGGGTCAACGTCTCTTCGACTTACTTTTATCTCCACATGCCCCTTTACATTCTCTGCAATTCATAATACAAAGAATTCTTTTAGAAACCTTCCTTGATCTAGAAAATAAGTTATTGAATGATATTTATA